GGGGTCGAGGCTGCGGTGGCCGGGAGCGGTCACTGCCCTCCAGTCTGGGCGACCGAGTGAGACTCCGACTCAAAAAAAAAGAAAGAGGGGGACCCTGTTCCAGGCTGGGGTGCCATCACCTGGGCCTGCTCCCAGACAGCATCCTGGGAAGACGTCTGGCTCCCACCCAAACCACCTCCTGGCTGGAGACGTCAGGCTCTGGCATCCTGGCATGGGTCAATGGCCATCACCCACCTCGTGGGACGCCCACCCTTCTGGAGCTCACAGCCTGAAGCCGGAGGGCCATAAGCAGCTGAGCGGACATGAGGATGGGGTGTCAAGAAGGCGTCCTGAGTGACGAGGGTGGAAGGCAGGCCCCCGTGGGCCGCGCAATCCTCCAAACCCCCGCAAACGCCAGCCTGTGCTTGCCAGGAATCACCAGGGATGTCAGGAGAGGGCGGGGCCCGGCGAGGAAGCTCTGTGGATGGGAGAGCGGAGCTAGGGGGGTGAGTGGCCCTGGCACTTGCTGTCCTCCAGCGCCGACGGCTCCCAGCCTGCCCTGTGCTGGGCTCTGCCCCCCAAAACCCAGATCCCCGGCCCAGGCTTGCCCGGCTGTCGGCGCCTACCCCCGTACCAGGCTGAGGGCCCAGATGGCAGAGAAGTGAACCATGGCCTGCGGTCAAGGTCAGGCCCCGAGCACAGCACACGGGTCAGAGAACACTTCAGAAGTCCTTTATTGGGCCGGCGAGGCCGGGGTCTGGAATCTTCCGGTCGGCGACGTCCCTGCCTGTTCCGGCCGGGGCAAGAGGCCTCTGCTGCTTGCTACTTGACACGCGTCTTTACGTATTCCCAGCCCTCCCTGGAGTACTCGCAGGCCTTGGTGGGTGCCACCGACAGAGCCGACATCACCCTGATGACACCTGCAGGGAGGGGACGGCCACCCGGTGAGCATCCCCACCCAGGTTAAGCCAGTCCCCAGAAACCCCAGGGCAGCAACTTTTTTTTTCTAGAGTTGGAGTCTTACTCCGTCGCCCAGAATAGAGTGCGGTGGCACACTCACGGCCACTGCAGCCTCGACCTGCTGGGCTCAGGTGATCCTTCCGCCTCAGCCTTCCAAGTAGGTGGAACCGCAGGCGTGCACCACCACGCCTGGCGAATTTTTCTGATTTATTGTAGAGATGAGGTCTCGCCAAGTTGCCCAGGCTGGTCTCGAACCCTTGGGCTCAGGCAATCCCCTCACCTCGGCCTCCCAAAGTGCTGGGATGACAGGCTTGAGCCCCTGCACCCGGCCAGCAAGACTTTCTTAGAGGCAGGACTTCCAGCAGGGAAACGGAGGCAGTGGAGGACAGGCTCTGACGTGGCCCCAGGCGTCCCGTGTCCCCCTCTACCGGTCAATGATCAGCCCAGTCTCCAAAAGACGCTCCAGCACGTTGCCTCTCTGGCCTGTCCCCTCTACCTCGTTTTCAACCCACCGGAGATCCAGACAGGGCAGGGAGACAGAGGGCTGCCAGGCAAGGATGTCTGGGGCCACCCACCAAGCAGAGGGACCGGGGCCTACCTGAATTCCAGGTGTCTCGGATGGGAAAATCAATCTTTGGAGGGGCTGGGAGCTGGGAAGAGAGACGGGCAGAGAGAGCTGGTGAGAAGGAAAGGGTTCAGAAACCTCCGCCACCCTCCAAAGGCCGGGAGAGGAGCACAGGCCTCAGAGTCAACGCCCGGCTGGGGAGAACCCAGGGCTGACTTCTCACCCTACCCTGACCTCGCCCCCAGCGTGGGTTACCTGGGGTAGCTGCAGGCCTGTCTGCTGACACACGTACTGGCTGAACTGGTACACAGCCGGGGGAACCACCTCCCCGGCCTTCCGCAGGGCCGCCTGGCTCTTGTCACTGGGTCCCAGCAGCTCCTGGTCGTACACTAGGTAGACGGCGCCCCCAGCCACGCTGCCCTTGATGAGGAACCTGCGGGGAGGGAAGGGAGCGGCCGAAGCTCAGTGGACACTGCCAGCCACCCTCAGGGGCCTAGGCTCAGTCCAGAGGTTGCCACACTTTATTTTTATCTATCTATTTATCTGAGATGGAGGTCTCACTGTGTTGCCCAGGCTGGTGTTGAACCCCTGGGATCGATCAATTGATCTATCGATCTGTCTATCTACTTATTAGAGACAAGGATCTCACTATGTTGCCCAGGCTGGTGTTGAACCTCTGGGCTCAAGCAATCCTCCCACCTCAACTTCCCAAAGTGCTCGGATGACAGCGGGAGCCACCACCCCTGGCCAGGGGTGACACTTTAAACGCAGCAACTGTGAGACCCAGACCCTAGAGTCCCACATAGCATTTGACTGACAGTATGCCAGCCCGGGCGACGCAACACCCCTTTAAGAGGTAAACTGAGGGCTGAAGACGGACAGCTCTCGCAGAGAGCAAGGAGCAGTGGAGACTTAATACGCCTGACCAAGGCCGGGCAGGGTGGTTCACGCCTGCAATCATCCAGCACTCTGGAAGGCTGAGGTGGGAGCATCGTTCGAGGCCTTCGGGACCAGCCTGGGCAACATAGCAAGACCTCCCTCCCCGCACAAAAATTTAAAAAGTTAGCCAGGTGCGCGTGTCGGGAGGCTGAGGCGGAGGGTCGCAGGAGCCCAGGAGTTCGAGGCTGGAGTGGGTGATGATTGCGCCATTGCCCTCCAGTCTGGGTGAAGAACGAGATCCCGTCTCTTAAGAAAACAAAAACAAACCCCCCCCCCCCAAACAGACCCTGACCCTGTAGAAGCCTTCCAGCCCAGGGAGGAAGCAACCTGGGGGGCTTTCTAAGGGCCCCTGGGCGCCTGCTGTATGTCACTCGCTGCTCCGGGCGCGCCCACCTCCCCATTAAAGCGGGTGGCAGGACTCCCATTTCACAGAGGAGGCAACTGAGGCTCGGAAGGGTCGCTGACATCGGGAGGCGATCGGCGACCTGCTTGAGCCTCAGTTTCCCTTTCTGGGCGACGAGGGGAAGCGCCACCACGGGGGGCGAAGAGCAGGTCGCAATCAAGCCAGAGGAGGGTGCCCACAGGGGGGGACTTTCCCGGGGGCTCGCGACCCATCCGGCGGCCCCACGCACCTCATCAGCGACCACACCCGGGCCACCATGGTCGCTCGGCTCCCCGCGCAAGGACACTCGATTCGCCCGCCGCTTCCGGTCACGGCGCCGCAGAGGCCTCTGGGAGATGTAGTCTTTCGCGTCAGCCGCACAGGCCTCGGGGAGGCGCAGTCGCGTTAGGGCTCTGAGACGCCAAAGTCGAGTCTCACCCCTTTCACGACGGGCCTCCGGGTTGCAGTGCCCGGGCTGCCGCAAAGCTTCCTGGGAAATGTAGGCGGCACCGCCCCGTGAGGCGCCTGGCCGTGAGGCCTCCTGGGAGATGTAGTCCAACCCGGCCCGCCTCGGGCGGCGGGAGGGGAACCAGGCGTCTGGAGTGACGTCTGAGGGGGACCCAAGAAGACGTCGGGGCCCGAGCGGTCCGCCCGCGCCCGCGCGGGGGACTGAGGGCCGGACTTAGCCAGACTGCCCCTAGAAGACGGTCGTCACGGCAACACGAGCGTGGGGTTGTTGGAGAAAAGCGGGCCCTCCGTCACGTGATCGGATTGGGGGCGGGGCTTCGGCCCAGGAGGTGGGGCTGCAGCCGAGGCCTGGGGCGGAGAGTCGTGGGGGGCTGTTGCCCGGCAACGCCCCGGCGCGGGTCCCCGCGGCCCAACCCCGCCCCCGGAGGAGGCGGGCTTGGCGTCACGTGGCTCAGGCCTTAGGGAGGGGGCGCGGTCGGGGGTCCGGCCGGAGGCGGCGGGGGAGAGGGGTCCGAGGGGCGTTCCGCGTGGCTTCCAGGCCGTGCCCCAGCCCCGCTGGACGGTGGGGGAAACTGAGGCCCGAGTGGGGGAGTGCGGGGTTGGGGGCGTGCAGCGGGTCACACGCCCTCTGTGTTCAGAGGCGAAGCTGGGGCCCGGCGAGGTCAAGGAGCCAGTACGTTCTGCGAGGATGTGGTCCCCCGCCCTTGCATCCGTCCGTCCATCCACCTGTCTGTCCATCCAGCCCTTCCTCCGTCGGCCCCGCCTCCCCCTGCCAGGCTGCTGTGGCCGGAGTGGGTTGGGACGCGGGAAGAGGGTTGAGCCGAGGGGCTTCCGGCTTCGTAGGGGCACGTGTCTTGCGCCCCGCGTGGCTCGCGTGCCTGGGCAAGGTGAGGAGCCTGCTCTCTGAAAACGGAAAGAGTCCTGGACAGGGCTCTGGGCGATGAGGACAGGTGGGCAGGGGCCCGACCAAGGGGCCTCTGGCCGTCGTGAGGAGCTTGGCCTCCGTGGAGAGCCGGAGAGGGTTGGAAGGAGGAGGGGGCGTGGCCAGGTTTCCTTTGCCAAAGGTCCCTTTGGCTGTGTGGAGAGGAGAGACCTGCAGGAAAGACGTGGGGACGGGCATGCCAGGGCAAAGATAAGGGAGACCGGACGGGAGGGCCAGGCGGGACCAGACGGGAGGGGCCGGGAGGGAGAACTGGTGAGATCTGGGACCCATCAGGCCAAGGGGGTGAACGAGTGGGAGGAGGTGAGGCCGACACCCAGGTCCACCAGCCAGGGATGGAACCATCGCTCTGATGGTGGCCTGGGACGAGAAGCAGGCTTGGGGTCAGATGCCCAGCCTGGTCTGAGGGCCCTGGAAGATGTCAAGGGGCGTTACCCAGGGGACAGCAGGGGCCAGGGATTGTAGGGCTGGACTTAGGACTTAGAGACCTGGGGACTCCCCAGCCCCCTACCTCCACCCATGAACCCCAGAACTTTAAGAACTTAGCTTGCTTCTTCCATTTTCTCCCTGGAATAATTAAGTCAGTTGAAGTCACAGTTTCACCCCGATGACACAGACACCTCTGTCCCGCCACCCCGAGTGTCCGACTCCTTCTGGAAGTCTCCAGACAGAACTCGCTCTCTGCTCCTGGGCTCCCCCGGCTCTCACCTCCTATATTCCTCATCTCTCGCTGTCAGTCTAGCATCTACTAAGCACCTGCTGTTTGCCAGGTACAGTTTTGGGCCCCGAAGACCCAGCAGTGAACAAAACAGAAGCAGATTTCCATTTCCTTCCTGCTCTCGTGGAGCTGACAGTCTGGGGGGAGAGAGTGAACATATAACACATTCTCGAGATGCTTTCAGGCAGTTTCAAGAGCTGAGAAGGAAGGTTCTAGAAGTAAGAGGGTGCAGAGTGAGGAAGGGAGGTGCTTTAGAAAAGGAGGCCCTCTTCGAGGAGGGAGGTCATTCTTTGCACTGAGCCTTGAAAGAAAAGACTGAAAAGAAGAAAGAGAGAAATCACTGGGTTATATATGTGGAACAAGCACTCTGAGCTGCAGGAACAGTTAGTGCAAAGGTGGGATGGGGACTGGCTGGTTACGGAACAGGGAAACAGCTGCTTTAGCAGGGCAAGGAGGACTGGTTCCCACAGGGCCTCTGTGGCCATCAAGGAGTCTGGCTTTTATCCTAAATGACACAGGAAGGATTTTCAGCAGGGGGGAGGCAAGGTTTGGCTGCGGGGGAGGGAGAGGGCTCAGAAGGGTGGAGGGTGCAGTGGTTCTGGTGAGCCTGGACAGGTGAGGAGGGGGCGGGTCCACGCTGGGAGCATCACCAAAGGCTCCTCTAACGGGGTGGCTGCCAGTCAGGCCTGTGCCAGCCGCCGGGGGTCCCGCTGCAGGCCACAGAGGGCCATGAAGGTGCTGCTTCTCACCGGACTGGGGGCCCTGTTCTTTGCCTACTATTGGGACGACAACTTCGACCCAGGTGAGGGCCAGGGGTTGGGGGAGGGAGGGAGTGCGGCCGGCTGTTCTGTCCCCCTCAGACTGACCCGCCTTGCTTGCCACCAGCCAGCCTCCAGGGAGCCCGCGTGCTGCTGACGGGGGCCAATGCAGGTGTTGGCGAAGAACTGGCCTATCACTACGCGCGCCTGGGTGTCCACCTGGTGCCCTCGGCCTACACCGAGGCCCTCCTGCAGAAAGTAGGAGCCTTGGATGGGGGGGAGGTTGCGGGGGGAAGGGTGTGGAAGAGGACCTGGGTGTGAATTCCTGCAGTGATCCAGGCTCCTTATGCGGCCTTGGACGCGTGGCCTACCCTCTCTGAGTCTCAGTTCTGTCTTTGCAAAATGGAGGCGACAGGAGGCCTTCTCCTGGGTTAGTTACAGACGGTGGGTGGGTGTTCCCAGGAAATGGGAGCGCTGAGCGTTTAACCCTGTGCCCGTGCCAGGATGCTCCGATTCAAAGGGGAGGGCGGGCACTTCTTAGAAACAGCCCGTTGCCGCTTCCGGGGAACGCATGGCTCTTGGGGACAAGCCTTCCAGATCTCCTCAGTTTGGGATGTTGGTGATTCACTAAAACGTCCTAGCTGGGCACCGGAGCACTCATCTGTGGTCCCGGCGACTCAGGAGGCTGAGGCGGGAGGATCACTTGAGCCCAGGAGTTGGAGGCTGCAGTGATCGAGCCACTGCACTCCCGCCTGGGTGGCAGAGAGAGACCCTCTGGGTTTCTTGTAAGAAACGCAAGT